ATTTTTATATATATATATATATATATATATATATATATATATATATATATATATAAAACTCTAATTGTATACACTGAATAGGAGGTTTGGTCCCTAAAGTCATTCTGGATGTGCAGAAACAAAAATCTTGCCCCTACCATGTAACAGACTCCAGTCATCAAGTCTGCAGTCGCTCATTTTACTGTAGAATTTGAGGTTCTCACATTTGTGGTTATGAAGAGTTCTGCCATGTTGCTGGCTTGGCTATCTGAAATGCATGTCATTATGCAAGCTGGATACTGTGATGTTTTTCATTAATTTCTTGAGCTCTACCATTTAGAGAATTCCTTCAAACTGGCCATGACCACTTTCTCTCTCATTGTTCCTTCCATTTCTTGTTTAAAACTTGTCTGAGTATCTCAGTAAGAATTTTTAAACCTTTCAGAACAAACCCCAAATATACTGTATACCTATGTATCTGCTCAGCCAATGTTGATTATACATATTTCCAGTTCATTTATTTCTTCATACTGATGCTGAATATATTCATGATATATTTATTTTCTTAGCTTCTGACAGCCTCTGCCTTTAAAAGAATGTATGTTGAATAGCCACTAAACTTTTCTAGGCTAACTTAAGAGAAATGAAAAGAAGAAACAGTGGTTGTTATGTACTTGTTAAGAGAATCTGGTCTGGAGGGTCAGTGCTTGAAAAATATGCATGTGAAAGCATTAATGCTACTTTTATCTATTGTAAAACATTAACATATGAGAAATATCTGATAAATATATAAAATATGTATATGTAATACATATAAGAGTAAAATCACCAGCTTGCCAGCATCAGTCAATCTATCAATTCCCCGCAGCAGGAGAAAGAATGACCTGACGAATTCTCACTGAACTGGTTAAAATTAAATAAAGTAAATCAGACTTATATATGGTAATATCTGCCTAACAGAAATTTCACATATCATGTTTCATCAAGAACTGTTGAAGAACTCAAAAGGGTTTTGTATTTCCTTTGTATGTAAAGTGGCTCACAAAATTAACTTATCCTACACATGGTAATATTTGTAGAGGAATCAAATGTTGGGTTTCATCAAAATCTCCCAAGTGATTAAAAATATACATAAAAGTTGACTGAGGTCCTTAATATGCAATGTTATAATCCAAAATAAAAAATTTTCAACACTATCTATTGTAGATCTATAATACCAAGTTCATCCTGCCTTCGGGCAGTTACTTGCAGGCAAACAGGCAGGCTGGCTAGCAGACAGAAAAAAATACTGACAGACAGAGAGAAAGGCTGACAGACACATAGAAATAATAAATTATTTTTGATAAAACTATGGGGGCACTATGCTACAAGCCGGAAGGTTGCAGTTTCAAGTCCCGATGATGTCATTGCATTTTCTCAATTTACCAAATCCTTCCAGCCACACTATGGCCCTGGGGTCGAGTCAGCCTCTAACAGAAATGAGTACCAGGAATTAATTAAATAATTTTCCTGAGAAGTAAAGTGCAGCCGACACATAAGGCTGACAACCTTACTGCCATCTTTGAGCTGATTGTCTAGATAATGTGGGACCCTCAATGTCTCATAACCCTATGGGTCTTCACGGCCTGTTACAGGGATAGCTTTACTTACTTACTTTTTTACTTTACCTAAAATTATGAGAGGAAAACATAAATAAGAACTAGGCTGAACTCTGGAATGGGGGCAGCATGTTCCTCTGAAACATTAGTAGCCACCCATGAAATGACATCATGTCTGTTTTACACAGAGTGCTGATTTCCTTTTAACAAGGTGACTACCTGAAAGACCTTAAAGAAATAGGATGAGAAGGAACAGACTGAATTTGCCTGAAAATATGGACCAGTGATGGGCTCTTTAAATATGGTAATGAACTGCCAGGTTCCACAAAATGCAAGGAATTTCTTGAGTAGTTGAGTAACTATTAACTTCTCAAGAGGGACTCTCTCTAAGGAGTAAGTAAATTAGTTAGTTACACTGACAAACAATGAAATGTAAGTAACAAATTCCTGAAGCATTGCCATTAATTCCACTAGATTTGTGTAGTAACTGTGTTAGAAGATTTTGTGGCTCTCTTGCACAAATTGTGCAAGTATCATCTAGGTATTTATAAAACCCATTTAATCATATGTTACCTAAGTAATACAGTATTCATTTTCCAAGGCAGTGAATATTCTTTACTACGATCACGTGGACAGAATGTGTGGAGCAGCTGACCAACACCATCACTTCTATTTTCTTCGTATTCATGGACACTTACATTCCAGGCTGTACATGGACCTGAAACATCAGAGTGCTCTAATTGCTACTACAGTAACTTATGTAAAATGACATTGAGCACAGTTAACAAGGATTCTCTGCATCAAGTTAATTTTCAAACACTGACTGCATTATTAAGCCACTAATATTCTGCAGAGCAGTGATACTTTTTTTTTTTTAGTCTGTTAAGTGTGTACTGTAATCAAGTTTGTTAGCGACAGATTAGGGTACTGAGAGACAAAAGTAATTATGAAGTTCTAGAATACTTAGTCACTGTTAAGATTTTATATAGCATATATAGTAAAAGCAACAATGAAAAAAAAGCAGAGTATTCTGATAAAATATTATAGAATGATTTGACTACACCATCTAGTGTGACTCAAATGTATATATATGATTCCTTCACATGTTTCAGTCAATTAATGACCATCTTCAGAAAGCAAATAACACCACACTGATTGTTCCAACAATCATCAGGAAAGTGGTAAAGATTAAGCTCCATCCCAATAACATGAGCAGGGAGATTTTTCTTCTCTGAGGTCACTGAAGCCTCTCATTCGCATCTTGAAGGAATGAAAAATGGCTCTTTCCATGGGTCATTTTCCCTTAGGTCTCAATAACCACCTTGCTTGCAATTTGCCTACATAACCCAGTCAATTACCCAACCTACACACTTAAACTATAAAGATGGAGGTAGCTTGTTCCTAAAAAATATCAGTACTCTCTTACAAGATTATCTGATATCAAAAGTCAGAAGACCACAGTCTGCACAACTGAAGTGATACATGTTGTTTACAATTTTACATAATATTTGCAATTAATGACTCTTTGCATGCAAGTTTTTGAACAAATGGCTTATAATTGTTGAATCTCATATCAAATTCTACCAGGATTTTAAAAGTCAACGTACAGTAGAAAAGACCAGACAAATGCAAACACAACAGATTCAATTATGATAGACAAAATATATTTCAAACATTCTATGTAGCATATTGTTGTTTAACAAAATATGAGAGAGATATTTTCTGGCTATTATGGTTGGGCAGTCCACAGACTTACCTTTTTGATGTAAAGGTAATCTTGATTTGGCTGGCATTAATCCAGGGCTGACAGGGAAATGGGAGACTTGTTAAAACACTGCAGTGGTGACTGTATATTCACACTTGGAAATATTTTAGAAATATATCCTTTGACACAGCAAAAAGTACTTGATAACTGTCCTTTTAGAATTCTAGAAAACTATATTAGAATATTTACTCTCACTTTCCATCATAAACTGTATTTGGTAGTTATTTAGAAAGGAATTATCACTGTCTCACAGGTGCAGTTCATTCTGTCCCTCAAATTAACTATATAATATAGCATTTTTAATTATGACTCACGATTTTGATGTGTTGCCAGCTCAACTGTTAGTTGTCTTTCTATTTTGGAATCCAGAAGCCATATGCATTCCTGGTGGAAGTAGTAGTTTAATGTCATACTTGCAGATGAGATGTTTTTTGATATAATTTCTCCTGGAAATTGCATATAAAAAGTATGTCTAATCTATGCACATGCAGACACAACACAACTATTTTCTTGTTGCAGGAAAGAAGAGAATTGATATAAGAAAAAGGTCCTTATTAAAACAAAAATTTGTTTCATTGTAAATAGCCATTTCATATGTCCATCCTTTTAAAAATATGTGTTGACCACTTATACCAAATTGTATGTTGTTTGGTCCTGCCACAGACAGAAGAATGGATTTTCAGAGGTAAACTGAACTTTGCCAATATCTGATGTTATCAGTTTCTTTGGAATTGCCCAAATTATGATTCAGAAACTTAAATGAGATCATCATTCTTCATTTCATATTTAGTGAGAATTACATTCCTGAAAATGTAGGTTAATGTGTGAAAGTATGCCTAGTTATGTAAATTCACAGGCCACAGATGACAGAGTAAAGTGAGGTTAGATGTTTCTTTGGTACACAACTGAGTAGGCATCTTTCCCCCTCCCCCACCCCTTGCCCTGAAANGGACAGAGAAGACTTAATGTGTGTTCTAGTGATTTGTAAAGTGTGGAGATTAGTGATAGTGCTACTTGTAGTTATGAGTTGCGTGTGTAAGTGGCCAATAAATCGAGTCACCAATCCAATCCCCGTCTCTAGTCACTCATACCCATGACAATATCATGTCTGTTTTAAATTATACATGTATTAGGAATTTCTAATGTTGTTCTAAAGTTACCTGCAGGATGTGTGATTGTAGTGTGTCCACAAGCTGCATCATTGTTAAAGGTGTATGCCGCCTTGAACACAAATCCCTTCATATTCCAGCTGTAATGTGCAACTGAGTAGACAACCTTTAAAGGTGACCAGCTGCGTAGACTTACTGGAAGCCATTGTTGCTGGAATGCAATGAAAGCCATCATCACAAAACAGGTCATTTTCACCTTAACTTATATTGTACCAATAAATAGTGTATCAGATTGAACCAGAAAACAATTATCACTAAAATGTAGTAGTACAATAGCAAGCAATCAAAGTAATAAATTTTCTGGACCTCCGTAATTTCAAGAAAATTTGACTGAGACCTTTTGTACTTTTATACTGCTGTGTCCTGCATATTGGCTCCTAGATTTATTGCAGTACTGGTAATCCTCTGGAAGCTGTGAAATATTAATTTAAATTGTGATCTAATATAAAACTTGTATTAAATTCAATGGATTAACTAGCTGCCAATTACAACCACATTGCTTATTAATTTTTAAGTGTTTTATTTTCATATATATTGTTACATATTTATATATGACTATAGACGGGGTATGGATTTGTCTATGGATATACAGAATGTGCAGATGTTAGGTATCCAAAATAAAAAAAAATTATATCTCTGAAACTAATTGTCATACACATTTCTGGTTTATGTCATTCAAAAGGAAAACTCTGAAAGTTTTTTTCCACATCTGGCTTACATGCATGTGCCAGCTTGTGTGTGACCTTTGGCGAGTTCAGTAATGATGTTGACACCACAGGAACAGGTTCAATGCACGCTGTTGCAGTCTCTTATGGCTGTCTAGCGTCATTTTAGAATGCAATATGGACATCAACCTCCTACACGGAAGAGAATTCAGTTCTGGGACAACAAACTGAGAACTACAGGTAGTCTGTTTTGTGTAAAATCTCCTGGAAAGACACGACGCCTGAAGAAAATGTCAGTTGCATTACAGAGGCATTCCAGCAAAGTCTGCATAAATCAATTTGTGCTGTTAGCTTGCAGTTACAAATTCCACATTCAACAGTGGATGATGTGCTACACAAAAGGCTCAGCCTAAAAGCAAACAAAATTCAAATGATTCTTGCATTAAGACCAAATGACCAAGTAGCACGCACAAACTTCACTATGGACATTTCCTCTTTCAAGTGTGCTTCACGGATGAGGTGACGTTCCATGCCAATGGAGTTGTGAACAGGTACAAATGCAGGATTTGGGGCAGTCAAAATCCACATGTCACATCTGAGTTAGAGAGAGGCAGCCCCAAAGTAAACATGTTGACTGGCTTAATGCATGACAAGTTGATTGGCTCTCGTTTTTCTTTTTGGAAAAGACTGTGACTGGAAGTTTGTACTCCAACATGCTGGAACTGTACACACTTCCCCAATTACCATCTCAAAGTTCCCTACAACAAGATGGGGCACCATCACATTTCTGCCACCATGTAAGGAATCACCTGGACCCTGGAACTACAAGTAATTATGACACTGTTACTGATTTCCACACTACAAATCATTCCACACTAAGTCTTCTGAGTCTGCTTTCACTGCTCATTGCTCGGTAACATCTCTCAACGACAGCTATTCTGCTACAATGTTTTCACTAGACGTTTCTTGGTAACAAATCTTAACAATGGAGATTCTTCAGCTTCTGTGGCCATGCCATTGCCTGCTGGTTAACACTGCACACCTGAACTCTTAACTGAACACTAGCACTGATTGCCTCTGCATGGACCTTGCAGAAAACACAAACCCTCTATTGTTGTAGATGCGTGTTTACTGCTCCATTGAATAGCAACTGTCACGACACAGATCACATAGAAAACACAGTTCTTCTATTATTGCATGCATGTATGTTGTGGGAATTACCGAACAATGGCTGCTGTTTTCAGAGTCACTCCCAATAATGCCATAATATGCATTGCTGTACATCAAACACTGTGGTGTACTCATTGGAAATTCATTTTCTGGAAGCCATTGGTTTGAATCTTGACCTAGCAGTCTCCCAACTCAATATAGCAGAGTTCTTACTGAGAAGCTGATTGCCGCTCAACTGGTCAGGGAATTCCTCTTCCTCTTTTATCTTTTATGGAACCAGAAGGTCCATTACCATACTCACACCATGATTTGTAAGCTGAATGAGATGAATCCACTCCCATATTCATATTCTATTTTTCTAAGTTCGGTTTAATATTATGCTGCCTGTTTATGAATAAGTTTATCTTCTGAGGTTTTTGACTAAAATTCTGTGCACATTTCTCATTTTCCAATGCAGGTCACATGCCCTGTATCTATTCCTCCATGCACAGTTTGAAATATACTAAAATTTATGTCCCCTGAAGCCAATAAAGAATTATAGAAGAAAGACTAACAACAATAAAATAAAGTTCTTTAGAAGCAGTCTATTCAGAAAAACTGAAATTCAACTTCATGACTCTATGCTTGCCTTATAAAGGAAGTTATTTAGAGAACAACACATTATTGCAAGGTAGATTTCTGGTGATGTGATTGTGCACAATTAGTTTAAGATACAAATCTGTCTCTACAAGTAAGTTCATACTTGAGACATACTTTCTTCCTTTCAGCAGCAAAATTTCTATAAATAACTATTACGTATTTACTAACCTGGAAATCTCCACAGAGGCAGGATACAGCCTGACCAGAATCAGTTACTAAGAGCAAATGGTCCATCTGAGAAAGAGGAAGTAAATTTGCTACACAGTGGCAACCTCCATCTCCACACTGTGTGTGGCAGTGAGGATCAGGGGACAGTCTAGCCAACGTTGACACCTGAAAGAGTTATGAAATCATTAATTAATGACAGAATTTAGACTTTTCAAAATTAGACTGCCTTATAATTAACACTGGGGGCATGCAGTAATGAAACTTAAAGCTGGTAACACAGGAGGGTTCAGCTTACCATTATATGCAGTGCAGAGAAAGTTCAGTACATAGAAAGTAGCAGAGCAATATAATGTTATTTAGGATATTTCATACTAGCTTAAGTCGTATGACTAGAATTAAACCCTTGTTCTATAACCATTTCCCCTACCTGTAAATCAGATCCAAGAAAATGAAAGGGCTGCACGTGACGTAGCAAAGTTAGGAACTAACGACACTGTCAGCGTGAGTAATGTCATAAATTAATAAACTTACAAATTAATATAATATAAATACCGTCGTAAATGCAACAATTTATTTGTAGTTCTTAGTCTTTCTTCTTTTACTCTATATGTTTCAGCTGTAACTGGACATCATCAGGTGTATTTTCACTTACGTAGCTGTCACACTGCACATAATTTAAAATTTAAAAACACCAGCTCCCACAATTGTCATTGCTGTGTTTCAATCGGTTCCGATATACCAGAATCTCCTTGCTGGTTTTGTCAGTTATGTTTAAAATTTCTGTTAATATATACTTGTTGATTTGATTTAGAATTTTAATTTAAAATTTAAATCACAGGGATACCTGCTCTATGTCTACATGTGCTGCAGCGGCTACTTCTTGCTTTCAGCACTGTTCATGTACTATCTGTAATACACAAATATTCTTATTACTATCTTATGTTCTTACATTATTCTTATATGTTTTATACTGTTATGTGTACTTACTCTGTGTAGGCTCCCTGTGTGCGTGCTGCTGCTTATCTTTAATATGTTTGCTGTCTGGTGTATTGTGTGCTATGTTTTATGTTGGTGAGTGTAGGAGGGGAATGGGTAGTGGGGAGAGGGAGGTACCTTTAGTCTGTATAGATCTCGTGTATTGTTTGAAATGTGGGATTGTGTGTTTCTATGTGTGTGTCATTCATATGTAGGCCTTTCTTACTTATTTTATATATATGGTATTTCTCTAGTATATTCAAATGTCTACCCTGGTACATTCTGGTATATCGGGACCGATTGAAATGAAGCAATGACAATTGAGAGAGCTGGTGTTTTTAAATTTTAAATTATGTGCAGTGTGACAGCTACGTAAGTGAAAATACACCTGATGATGGCCAGTTTTGGCTGAAACATGTAGTGTAAAAGAAGAAAGACTAAGTACAAATAAATTTTTGCATTTATGATGGTATTTTTATTATACATATAGAAGTGATGAGTGGAACAGGACGCTTAAATATAATATATTACAAATTAACCCCTTACTGTAATTGTAACACTCTGATTTGCTGCTGGTATGAACCTCTGTGAGCATCTGAGAGCCCCTTCAATGTTCCAAAAGAGATGCTGTGTTCCTGGATTTGAGATCTGCCCTTCCAATGGACTACTGAGACCATAGTAGTCCACATCACAGAGAGTATCAGGCTGCAATGTGCCATCCACGTGCTCTGAAATACCATCCATCATGTTTCAATAACTGGTATATATACATGTATTATCCCAAATTTTTCACATTTGAGATTTTCAAGGCAGTGACTATAAAGATTACTCACCTGTGGGTTGTGATTCTGTGTAGCCTGTTAGGTCATATTCAATAATTCAGAGAAACTGCTCTCTCCAGGGAATACTTAACGTAGGTCTTTTAATGATGTTTTCACTATCAAGATTGTACAGTGTCAGATGGAAGGGTGATACATGAATGATGAATTTGGAAGAAAGCGGTTTTGGCTTGATAAAGGTAATAGCTCAGCATATTCCTGGAGGAACTGAGGAGAACCACAGAAACCTCAGTTGAAATACCTGGTGTCCTGGCTGAGATTCAAACCGAGCACCTTCCGAACACAAGTCTAGAGTATTATTTCTAAACCAACCTGTTCAGTGGGGCAGTCTTAATATTGGCAACAATGTGCCAAACTGCACGGTAACCAGTAAACTCTGTATTTAACATGAAGAAGAGCGGATGACAACAGTTCCACTGAACTCTGAACAAATGCAGCAACACTGAAGTCACAGAATCATGAGTATAACTAACATGATCTTTAAAGTTTACATGAAAATTACATTATAATGTGTGTGTGGAAAGAAATTTCTCAAATTATGCTTTTGGAATCTTTCAAAAGTAGACAGTTATATTTACGTTTCTTTAATGGAAGTATGAACTTATAGGATCATGGCTGAACATATTCCAATGTGATCTGTCACTATTTTTCAGGACACCTGTAAGTCTACACACTTGTTTTTAGAATGCATTCAGTGAAATTATGTAAAACTTTTTAATGTTTAAGTTTTTATATCATTAACCACCTAAATTACATTCAGACATGCCAATGTAGTCTTACAAAGTGAAACAAAGCATACCATCATGGAAGAGGAAGGCTCCATTGAGAAACTCTGTATCACTTTCTGTGGATGATGTTGGGGGACCAAGGCGTCTCAGTACTAGCATCAGAATGTTGTCAGAAGACACAAATGTCTGTTGCTCCAAGAACCTGCATTGTTTTAGTAAACAGCATGTAAGAAGCAAATTTAGAGGCTGAGAACAAAAGTAAGTTTTATATCCTGTGCTGCCTTTGCAAAGGAAATTCAGACAAGTGCTCACATCAGCCTGTGGTACAATGCAGGGGAAAAGAAGAAGACAAATTATTATCTGTGATTTGTATTCTATGTACAACAAAATATAATGTCAGGATTGCTAAGATTTTACTGGATTTAAATTTTAAGTTTTGAATAAATGCGAAGCAAGTTTCATCTTAATAGAATATCATTTTCTTTTTCAGTTTTCTTAGTTCCTTGAATATACGGCATGTTCTTCAGATAGTCTATACATAAATATCGTGGGATCTAAGAATTAGAATTAGGACTGTCAGTTTAGTGACAGTTATGGTTACTGATCTGCATGTGGAGCAGCAGACAAATTACTGAAAACAATGGCAAAGGCCATGCCATAGGTCAAGCGGTTAGTCACTGGCTTCCCACCGTGGCGGCCGGGGTTTCATCCTGGGTCTGGTCAAGTGGGATTTGTGGTGGACAAAGTGGCACTGGGGCAGGTTTTCTCCGAGTACTTCGGTTTCCCCTGCCAATTTTCATTCCACCAAGTGCTCCACAATCACCCTCACCTATCATCTGGGGCTGGTACAATAGGCCAGATGTGGCCGCAGTACAAGGGCGTTAGTCCCACCCCACTAGCAATAATAATAAAAAAAAGAGGGCAAAAGACCATAAAATGTATGGTATAAAGCGTTACAGTGATATCATACTAGAAGAGAATATGTGGAAATACACGTACATTAATATAGCTCCCTAATTCCATGCCACAGTAAAATTACATAAAACCAACACACCTGTCAGACCAACAGTTAACTGAATAGGTACCCCCTCATAGGAACTAAGAAAACATTTAAAAGGTAAAGCTGCCCCTGTGCTTAATTAAGCAGGTGCAATCCTATGGAGATTTGTGGGAGAGTGGAGGTGTATTTCCACCATTCTTGATCTCAATACTGGATGGAGGTGAGTGGTCAGCTTCACACTCCAGCTGCTTTACACCAGGGAAAGGAGCCAAAGGTATCCATTGGATAGGAGGCTGGGGTTCGATTCCCCTGCTGGGAATCATACCCTGGCAATCTAGTCTGCTGTTCATTGTTATATTGACTGAGCTAAACAGGACTCTCCACTTCTTATAAATATATAACATCCACAATTCCATCCATTTAATTACAGATCTACCAAATACAGACATTAATTAAAATATCCAAACATGTTCATTTGATATGAAGAATATATATGCAAATATACCAAAGTTAGATGCTACAAACACAAATCAGACAATATTAGTCATCAACCAAGACACTAATCAAAACACTTGAAAAAAACGTTTTACAGATAATGCCAACAAACTTAAAACGAAGCTATTCCAAATTCTGACCAAGAGTATTACAAGCAAATAAATGGATTAGTCATGGATGTATCAACATCAGAAAAACCAGCTGAAACATATTTACAACATACAGAATAGGAACAAATATAAACACTACTAATAAAGAATAAAGAAACAGAATTTATTCGATATGCTGATAACACTGTCATCATCCATTCATTCATTCATCAGTAATCTGTCAGATGACAGGTCAACAACCTGAAGTTTTCAATATATCAGAAATTTACACGAACAGACATTATAATTCACGACGATCCTTTCCATCCTTATGATAAGAAACTATCGAGTATTGATTATTTAGTAAATTGACTACATAAGGTATGCATCTGATATCCAAAGAAGCAAAAGCAGCAGAAACAGGCATCATACTCATACTACACAATAACTAGTACAGGAATATGCAATTCAATAAAACCCTCAAATAAACCTCTCTGTGAACACAAAACACACACTCAAATCCTGGAGGGAAACAGGGGGCACTTTCACTTACAGTGGGAAAGATATAAGAAAAATTACTGAACTATTCCAAGACACAACCTTAAAAATAGTCTTCTGCACACAAAATACAACAAATTATATCTAGACCTAAGCCACAAACAGACAAATACAGGTGGTATTTAATAATTAGATGCCTAGACACTCCATTACAATACAATGGGAAAACAGACAAATGTTCAACATTACAAATGAAAACATCCAAGCTATATGAAACAACAGCAATCTAAGATTATTCAAAACGTCTATTAAAGTAACAGACACATACAAGGAATGATTACTTTCAATTAATTTTAATTGGTGCTTCACTTGATAGCAAATTGTTACTTTCAGAGTAAGATACACCTGAGGATGACTATATAAGGCAAATAAAAGTTTATGAATAATGAAAAAGTGAATGAAATATGATGGTGTGGAACTATTTATGCAGCCATTGACATATTTAAGGAATCTGAATTAATAAGATTAAAAATAAATAGCTATCATCCTGTCTCTTACCTCCCACTAGGATCCCGAGCGTGCTTTGTAAGAGGGCTGCATATTCGTTTTGATGGTTTGACACCTTCCTCAGCTGGGCCATCATATATTTCCACAACAGACTGGCAAGAAGGTGCCCTGAAACAAGGAATAAATGTAAGGTGAGTAACTTAAGTTATAAAAGGCAAGGATGCCATTTGCTTAATTTGCCATGAATGTATGAGTATGAGGGAGTAGGGTTATGACGTAAGCTCTGTACTAGGTGGAAGCAAGTTGTCAGCTTTATGCTGTGTTTGCTATACCAGCAAGGGATTCCTCCACAACCCACTGGATATAAAGCTGTGTGGGCCTCACAGCTGAGATGGACACAAAGGCAAAGAGAAAAATCCCTCTGTTGGGAATCAGGCCCCAGTCGTCCAGTCCATATCCTAGTCAGTATTGTGACATGTTGCACAATGGAGGACCCCTCCCTCACCAGCGGTACATGGCGGCATCGTAGCACTGTCATTACTACGGTAATAGGCGAGTCAACACCCCGCCCTCTCCCCGTGGTGACGTAACACGCAACGCAGCTGTGACACGGGTAACAGGCAACAGCGGTACCCATTGTGTAACAGGCGGGCGCTGCGACTATATAAGGGAACTACACAGCCGCTGAGTTAGTTAATGTGTAGCGGCCGCCGAAGACAGTTCTCAAGTCAGCAGTGAACGAGTTGAAAGTGTATCAGCCACCGAAGTGAGTTCTCCAGTCAGCAGTTGGAAGTTAGTTTGTGATAAGTGAGTAATAATTGGGAGTGTGTGATACAGGGACACTTGTATAGCTCCAGTATTGTAATTAATACGTGTAGACTCCTGAGGACAGAGTGAACAAATTATTGCGATTAGGGTGATAAAGTGTGAAACCCCGCAACAGTGTTGTAATTAATTGTAGCTGATACTTGTAGGTTGCTAAATAAACCAATTAACAATCCGAACGGCGTCTTCAGTAACCTAAACACGTTACAGTATGCTTATGGAGATAGCATATGGAGATACAAGAGATCCGTAATGTATATATATAGTATTAGAATTACGTTCACTGTTATTGAGGTGCTTGTGTGTACTACTCACATGCTGACATTGATCTACAAAAACAGATGATGATGATGATGATGACAATAATTCTATAAGGAGTCATGACATTTCAGTCATTTGTGGGTTTTAAGTTACAAAACTTGATTTTAACATGGAACAAGGGGAAATGTAACTTTCTTCTTCACCAGCATTGCAGAATGGATTTTGAAGACTAACCAGAGCCCTATACAATGGACTTGGTTGACTCCTTCCTAAAGAGTAATGGGGGGCAGAATGCTGCAGCCACCTGCTATGCTGGTTGCTTGCTTGAGGATTTTTATACCCTGAAATGGAGGTGATACATTCCACCGAAACGTCGGTTTATACAATATCTACTCAGTGCCACATCCCAGAAGACGGGATTCTAGATCTACATTCCTAGAGCTCAAGGTGCAGACTCTTCTTTCAGTGTTTTGCCCACAATACACTATAATTCTGTTGTTTTTTTCAATACAATTAATAAATACATAACAAATAATACAGTATCCCGATGGTGTCTCTACTTTGACGTAGTGGAGGGGCTTGTGTGGTCAAATGATCCTGAGAGCTATGCCGGCGGTAGCATAGCTACTGGTAGGGCCACCCATGCCGGACAGGTCGAAGGTGATGACCCAGACTAAAAGAGATACCCTGGTCCTCGGGGTTGGGGGTTGGGCGAGAGGCTGACGACCTCTCACCATAAAAAAATATAAATGTCTCGAAACCTGGAATCAAGCCTCGGAAACCTCAACAGAATGGAAGACGACTTTTGGCAAAGAATATGGACTACTTTCTAGGTACATGGAATATGCAAAGAAGTTAATGGGCGTAAGGAACTGGAAGAGAGCAGCACAGGATAGAGACGAATGGAGGGGCTTGATAAGGGAGGCCAAGGCCCAACAGCGGGCTGTTGCGCCATAGAAGAAGAAGAAGAAGAAGAAGCATTTAAATTATTAAAAATATTAAAAAGAAATTAATATTTTACCGTGGATTTTTAAGAGTTATGATTCAAGCTACCATATCACCACAACATAGATTTTTAAAATTTATAATTTTGGTTATCAGAGCATTTATGGTCTTTATAACTAATTCAGCTAATATTTCATCAAAATCTTGCATCTCCAGCACCTCAATGAATCTAGATAGGAGAGCTCTGGTTATTGGAGATTTTGAAAAGGACTTGGCTGGACTTGGCTTGACAGAGGATGCCTAATGAGTAGTTGCTGGTGCACTAGACTTAAATTTCAGGTCATAAGCCTGAAAATTTGGAGCATAATCTAATGGGAGTTAAATTAATAGGATCATAATTCTGCAAATTTTTAAGCGAAGTCAATCAAGGTGTGACTTTACAGGTATTTGGGGGTAAATTTTATTTGGTCCTGAACCAATTTTTTCAGATGATCAATGAGCTGCCACTGGACTCAACACATATTGAAACACAAAGCTTGAAAACGCCATAGTTGCTTAGAAAAGTAATGCCCATACTGTGTTCCATGCAACCCTGGGGTTCTATGACAATTCTGTGAACTTCCTCATGATCACTACACTGAAACATGTTCCTCCCACCTCCTGCTTACAGACAATATTTTGAAGATTTTTGGTTTGAGGCTATTGTTATAGACTTATGCTTCGCTGCAGATCCAAACAGTAGCCTGTTCTGTGCTAGACTATATTTAGCTGCTACCCTGTTTGAAGCTAAGAATGAAATAATGAAGCATACTGCAGTAAACTCCCAATAACCAGAATTTATGGGTAATGGGTTGTTCTGCTCACATCAATCTGCCAATTGTATGAGAAGAACTTGTATAAACACAACTTTTAAGTGGCTTTCATGATTTTCTGGTCTTGCACATATTTACACTTTCTGCTTTCAATTCAAAACAACATACATTCATTTTAGTTCTTAGATGGGAGTCTTCTTAGGCAATATAGTGGATTTCTGAGTGAATTTATTTTATTATTGCTAGTAGGGTGGGACTAAGTCCCTTGTACTGCGGCCACTTCTGGCCTATTGTACCAGCCCCAGATGATAGGTGAGGGTGATTGTGGAGCAATTGGTGGAATGAAGATTGGCAGGGGAAACCGAAGTACTTGGAGAAAACCTGCCCCAGTGCCACTTAGCCACCACAAATCCCACTTGACCAGACCCGGAATCGAACCCGGGCAGCCACGGTGGGAAGCCAGTAACTAACCATTTGAGCTAAGGTGCGGCCCATTTCTGGGTGAAAAGTTATCAGATATGCTGTAATGCAATTACAAATTAAACTGGCCTCTACTGTCATTATGGGTTAATTATGACTGTAATTGCATCTGCTTGAGGGAGGACAAGGGGCAGTGTTGCTATTGTCAGCTGAGAGAACTGTCATGTGGCCAGTGATTGTGAACTGCAATTTTATTTTTGTAGTATCTTTATAAGGATTTACATTTTTTTTTTAAATTTTGTTCGGTGTGGGAGAATTCCAGATCTCTGAATATAACATAAACAGGAATTTACCATGTTGGTGAATTATAGTTTATTTAATACACGTACTTATGTTAGTATCTCAGACTATGTAGCATACTGACTTGCATAAATTTTTATGTACTGCCATTGCTGTACCAGTGGAAGTAGGTTTCATAAATCAGCAGCATTTGGTTTCCTGCAGTTAAGTGCCACATGAAAGCATTCTAAGGACTTATAGCTTTTGGTTTGATGTTTGCTCTGGTCAGGACATTTCTAAGAGCTCAAGATTATGTTGGCAGTAAAGTTTGAGCAACACTGACTAAGAAAAAGATTAATATGTTCATCAGTAACAGTGAGTTGAATGATACAAACCAACAACCTGAGCATATAGTTGAAAAGCGACACATGCACTATATCCGTAGGTCTTCCTAAAAATGTCATGCTGCATGATGGTTTCCAAGATAAGGATCGACTGTTGAAGTGTCCTGATCTTGTGTCATTGCCAGAGTACAGGACTTCACACCCTGCTTTCGACGTTGCATGACGGGGGGCACTTGTTCCATCCACTGCAACCACAGAAAAATGTACAGCTTAAGGATGCTGGGTTTAAAAAAACAATTTGAGAGTAATACATTCTGGCAGAATACTTAACCATTAAGTATCCAGGCTGTATATGAGGGACACTAGTACCCAGGTCTGTATATATATTTTTGCTCATTAAAGAGGGTTAACAAGGACAATGGCCTAAAATCACCCCTGATGTCTCTTAAATATTCTTTTTATCAGTTGAGTTCAGGACAGAAATAATTATAGCAGTATGTTAACTTATTCCTTATATATATATAGCATGTATAACGTTTTTATGAATATGAAATAATAAAACAGTTAAACACTGAAGTCACAGTTGTTACTTGTTTCATGTTCAGAAAAGGTGTGTTAAATATAAAAATGGAAGTTATATAAATATCTGAATTAGTTTAATAAAATTCTACGTTCTCAGAGTACTGAATTTCTTACATTTCTAAGGCAATGATGGTCTGAATTCCATCAGTTTCCAGTTTCTGTCAAAATAAAATATTTTGCTTGATTATGTAATTTGTTTACTGTGACACTTAGATAATGAGCCAGAGAAGGAAATGAATTATATCCAACCTTAAAAGTTACATGTATTGACTACAATGTAGTTATATTGTTCATGAGCATCTAAATCTGTGAATTATGTCAAATGCAGAACATAATTATGCTTACTCATAACACCAGGGTCAGTTGTCTTTACTGGTAAAACGTTGGAGGATTCTGTGCTTAACGATTTCTCAACAAATTCAAGAGATGCTAAGAATCCATTATAATCATATGGTGGCACAGGAGGGCCCGAGCTGCAAAAGGAAAACATAAATATTAATTGATGTTTTTCTTAAAAAATGAAATTTTATATTCTTGAAATCTCTTTTATATCAAGAAGGAAAGTGTCTTGCAACATAAAAGATCACAAAGGTAAGCATGGAGGGCTTTGGTTAACACAGGAACAATCAGTGCCTATTATGAAGGCAGGCTATCTGGCAGATGTGCTGGGCAGTCTTTCTGGTGCGCATGATAACTTATTGGTTACCACAAGTTGCAGATAGTGAAACTGCACCAACATCATGCAGTGAAGGTTAGTGTCTCACATGCAGTATATGCCCTATATATCTTTCACAATTAACTCATCTATACTTAACGGAATATGCCCCCTTAACATAAGTGCTATTACAGTAATGACAATTGCAGTATATGTTAGTCAAATTTGTGACTGCATTTCAGTATATCCAGAGACTTTCACCCATTGTTCACTGTCTTCTAAGAAGCCTTCTGCACAAGAACTAAAGTGAAAATATATTGTTCTGAAATTTAAACAGGAAACTGAATACATATTGTCATGTGACAGTATATACCCCACATATCTGGTATGAAGTTGATCCTGTAACTACATACTCTATGTAGTTATATGTTAACTATTAAGACAACTATTACCTGAACTCAAGGAGGAGATTGGGCCCAGAATATTGTAGCTGTGTTTTTCTGTTGGCACAGAGAGTAGTCAAAAGTTGACTGGACGGTGTTGATCCTTGGTAGATAGCTATGTAGTCTGTGCCACAGTGACTGTAACATACACCCACTGTTTGAACTGAATCACATACACAGAAACTGCAAATCGATTCTGTCAGGTCTGACATTTCTTTCAGACAGTCAAATATTAAATGTATTATAAAACAAATTTACTACAAATTATAAAAGGCTGAAGGAAAAGACATGTCATGAAAGTTAGGTTCATAAGTATAATGTACACTGTCAACATTAAAAAAGAGAAGTGTTACATGAATGGCAAAATAAACTTACTGCAAGAGATAGGAGGCAGAAGAATAAGCCATTAAAAACACTTCACATTTGAAGCTTTCACTGTGAAAGAAGGCAATAAAATTTTCTTGAGTGATCTGTTATATCAGTGTTGCGCTAATGACCAATGTTACTCTTATCAACCAAATAAAGGGTCAATATGTAGCACAAAATGTAGTCTTTTTAAGTTAAATCTAACATAAGAATTATTTATACTCAACCAGCCAATGGTAACACCACCTGGTGACACAGATGATTGCTGAAACAATCATATGAGTCCCACTTCCATCATTCACATATGATGTCCCTTTCGGTCTCCTTGACACATTAAAATGGTTCACGTAAGATAACTCCACTTACTTGTAGGGTAGAAGCAATGCTGTGAAGATAATGTGGACCTGCGTGTGGATTGAGCTTGTAGCAATAAGATACTTGCACTGCCTGTTCGGAGGGTACAATCCTGGGTAACCAGGACTTGCTAGCACACAGGATCCAGGCTCCCGACATGAGAAGTCCTGGTACAGCCAGTCACATTCTGTGAGACAAAATATGTGGCATATGAAAATTATATCAACATTATTTACTTCACAAATGTCAAGCAAGGGACTTACGGAATGTAAGACAAATTATAACTGATAGAGAAGATACATGGTAAGAATATTTCTTGGGTGGTGCCCCATGAAAAATCACAATTAAAAAAAATTATCTTGTGGGATGTGATGACATGTAATTTAGTGGATAGGGTAGGACATTTCAGAACATCCTGCTACCTCCTATTCTGCAGAAGGACACAGCAGAGTCCTCTGATGCAGTGGAACTTATGTACCAGACTACATGGTGTCACATCCCAGAGGACAGTTATCTTCATAGCCACCACTACTTCAGAACCTCAGACTTCACGACACACAATTATATTGTGGTATGTAGACCTGTTGCTAAGCAATGACTGTGAAATAAGCAACATACAACAGCAGTTGCTAAGTGAAGGCTCTGCAAACATGCATTTTTTGACGGCAACAAGTGCACTGCAACAGAGGAACGATATTTTACACATGGTACCACTAATAACATATATTTCGAGAGAGTCAAATTTCTACCTGTGTGTTCAATGCGCCTGCCACCTCGCGCCTGGAATCCTACACCTTGAACACTGCTCGAAGGAGTGAAGCTGAAGTAGGCAAGGAACTGTGAACGAAGGGTGGATTCTGCAATGCTACGACACAATATTGAAAAAAGGGATTAATGCAAACAGTACAATAAATGGAAGGAGTGCTATGTAGCAATCATGACAATGACATATCAATGGGAGACAGAACACAGTAACCAATGAGTAATAAGTATCACTCCTACTTCCAGTCGTGGAGGTAATTTGTTCAGACATTGTTGAAGGAGATTTTCATGTTTGTATTCAGTTCCTCCACATTAATAATAAGTTTTACATTACTTTGTTCTGCCTGATGTATCATATGTTATTAATCTCTTACATATTTTTTTTGGGATTATTATTATTCATATAAAATAATTTATTTACAAAATTCTTCTAAATCTATGTGTTTCTCCTTTGCTGTTCTCTACTTTTTTAGCTTACAGTAGGCTTATGCGATCTACATGCTGTCTGTTATCGCCCCCCCCCATCAACTTTTGAATGCCTGAACCAATCTTTATGAAACTTTTGTATATACATTGATGGCAACTAAGCCCATCTCTGCAAAGTACTATGTAAATTCCACCCATAAGTCTGAGTGTCTCTATGTATATCCTGCCAATCGTTGCAAGGCAACAGCTCTGTTAAATGTCTCCCTCCTTTAGTTGTTAGGCAACGGGTTGGTAAACATGTTCCCATGGCAAAAATTACACACAGCAATAGAAGAATTGTTGGATACACAATTTTCTGAGCTGTTCATGTTTTATCAGAGAGTTAGTGGTTTTGTCTGTGTATCGCTCAATTGTTGCTATGTAACAACTAGGTACAGACGTTGCTGTAGCAACAAAGAATTGTTGGAGGTGTCGTTTTCTGTTTGGTGTATGTCATATCAAAATTAGGCAATTAGTTCTTCCCAGAACTTCTGGCTTTTATTTCTTTCACTTGCAACAGAAGTATGAACAAAGGGAGTTGTATAATTGCAGATTTACTCCAGTATTTTATTTGCAGCAATGTTTCCCACATGACTTCTCCGCTTTAGGTTTTCCAATCAAAGTTTTGTATGCACTTCTCACTGCTCCCATCCTTTGTAATCTGATCTCCCTAATAATGTTTGATTAAGAATACAAATTACGAAGTTGCTCACTGTGTAATTTTCTCCATTCTCCTATTACAATCTCCCTCTTAGTTTCCAGTATTCTTCTCAGCACTTTGTTTTCGGACACCCTCTATATATGTTCTTCCATCAGCACAAAAGCTATATTTCACATGAAAGTAAAACAGGAAAAGTGATTTGAATTTACGTCTTTAAGACAGGAAATGGGAAGACATAAGATTCTAGTAGCAAACATTCTCTAAATTTAATTTCTTCTTACATTCTTAGTGATGCAATGTGATGTAGAAATTTTTCAAGAACTAGATAGATTGGTTATGTCTGCTTACTGGAAGAGCAGAGTCGCAGATCCCCGATCTGCAAACAGCACCACAGGTGGAGCATAACGTTCATTACTGCCACAGATCTGTGAGTCACCTGGTCGGGGACGGGGCTCAGCTCCATCCACAAGCTGCAGGAATCCCCCCTCACAGCTGCAAGCAACTGGACACCATTAATGTGCAAACAGCACACGAGATAACTACAAAATAATAACACAACAGTGTTGACTGTAATGGAAGAGGTGGCTGCAGCAGATAGAGGTGGTCATTGTAATACTGATTATTGTGGTCATGGTGACAATGAAACTAATTATGAAAAACTGTAAAGAAAATATCTGGAAACCATGGATTAGCTTTACCCAGTCTGTTTTGTGCAGGTCACTGCAGCAGATAGAGGTGGTCATTGTAATTCTGATTATTGTGGTCATGGTGACAATGAAACTAATTGTGAAAAACTGTAAAGAAAATATCTGGAAACCATGGATTAGCTTTACCCAGTTTAACTCTTCAGTATCAGAATGTTCTCAATATTAGAAATGTCTTCCTTTCTGAACAGTTAATAATAGTACTACCTTACAGAATGTGAGACTGTGTAGTCTGGTAGAAGTTCATCAGCGTTTAGAAAGAACGCACTGCTTCGAATTTTAGCCAAGGAAGCTCTGCTTGTAATGGAGGCAAAACATTCCTCNCTTATACTTTTTCTTCAACCCTGAAGATGGGGGCGATACGTTCCTCCGAAACGTCGGTTAACACCACATATACACGGTGCCAAATCCCAGAAGACTGCTTTCTTCATTCCTCCAAAATGTCAGTAATTTTCTACCGGATTACACAGCGTCACATCCCAGAAACTACTACTCTTTGCAGACACTACTGTGAGGACCTCAAATCCAGAACAGTTTATAAAAGTACTTTCAGCAAGGTTCATAACCCTAAAAGGAGGAGAAGGAGGACCGAACACCCAGCGAAACTTCAGCATACCTCATGCACTAAAATGAATTTTAATCAGATGGGCTTTGCAGAAGCTGTTCTCTTATCATGGAGCATGAGTGCAGCCATACATGTAAACCAATCTATTATTATAGTACTAAGTGACAAATCTACGAGTATTTAAATTATCAGTAAAGCAATGGTCATCTTGTTAGGGCAACCCTGGATCTGTATTCTTTTCTTTGTTGGACTGCTAAGTTTATATCTACAAGTATCTGCCACCAGCAATTTCGAAATGGGTTTCTTCCCATCTGAAGCACATTTTGAGATGGCTCATACGCGTAAGTTCCAAGCTGCTACTGCGGGCTTCATCAGTTCCGATTTAAACTCCTCAAAATGAACCCCCTTGCAGTGAAAGTCACCAAATTATGCATGCCAACAAACCACTAACATTTGATTAGTTCTACAACTGAAATGACACCTTTAGACACTCACCTGCTACCATTAAAGCGACCGACGCTTACAAGGCGGTAAACTTGAATCTCAACGCGCTGGCCAGTGTCCGGCTGAAGTAAGTACCAACAGAAACCTGGGCCTTCCAGGGACGGCGACTTGATCTGCCCGAAAGTCTTGCCTGAGCGTGCGACCAGATTGCGCGAGTCGATTGTAATGTTGCACACTGCAATACGCAAGACAGAAGTCGTTTTAGTCCGAATGCGGAAGTGACGATGGGCGCATGAGTTCTGCCACGTCTCATGTTAGCGACTGTTTATTTAATTTATTTGCGGCAATTCTTCACGTAAGGAGGCTGCCTCTTCCGCCCACAACCTATGACAGACCACAACACACAGACTTATGATCAGAAAACGTTTACCTATACCGCGTTTGATTTCAACCGGCCGCCAATTCAACATAGAGGCGTTTTCACACACACACTTTAAAAAATCGTATGTCATTTTTATTCAAGTGTCATGAATACCCTTCACAGCAAGTTTACATGTGCGAGTATAATGGACCCCCAAACTGGCTCTTCGGAAAGTTGCTACTTAACGTAAGTGAAAGCTGATGAAAGATTTCAGTATGAAACAGAAGAAATCACGTTTGTCTGAATCAGTTTATCCTGCACATGTCCCTGTTTCAATGGAATTACAGGTCATTACTGTAGCAATGCCTTTGTCTGCATGGCTGTACCGAGAAAACTGTTTCGAAATAATTGGGCGACCATTTTAACGTAACTGTACTTTGAATAAATAAAGATCAATTATTTATTCATGACGTTATTTTAAGGAGTATTAACCTGTATATCATGTAGTGTGGTGTGTATTTTTTTTTCTGTGGCGCTACAGCCCCAATTTGGGCCTAGGCCTACCTCCATGAAACTCTCCGTTTCACTTCGGTTTACTAGATCTTACACATTCGGTAGGACCCCTTTGGCGAGTGATCAGCTCGTCGCAAGGCCTCTACCTGTAGACAAACACAGAAAAACGCACACAAACATCCATGACCTGAGTGGGATTCGAACCCACGATCCCGGCTTCCGAGCGAGCGAAGACAGTGCATGCCTTAGACCGCTCGGCTACCGTGACCGGCAGTGTGGTGTGTATAGCTTGGATTAATTATGAGTATAAATAACAATTTAAAAACTAAGCGATGAACATTTGGTTTCAATATAATGCTGTGAAATTCTTGAATAGCTGAGCGATTGGTGACTTTGCTCCATGGAGTCAGCGAGTCAGTTCAATTAATAGTAATCGCCGTAGAATACGTCATTCTAGCAGATCTTATATGAATTAATTAAAATGAAGGCATTTTATTTCTTCATTCCTATGTTTTATTTGTTACGATGAATCTGTTTTTATGACTCAAAAAGGGTTAACTTGTACAGTGTCTCGTCCAATCGTCACGTTACTTCGGGCATATGCCCTTGGTTTGATTTGTTTCCTAGGAGTTTTACTGTTGCTACAGCAGAATCGAAAAATGAAGGTGTCAATTTCCTGGCTCATTTGTTTCATATCGATATATCGCAGAGACCAAATGGTAAATCTGGCAGTGTATCCAACGGTATTGAGAACTGCCAGGTATTAATTTATTCTGCACGTCCACTGATGCGAACGCCGCTGTTGAGTTGTATTCTGTTGTACGTATATAATATGTAGTTATTCGCTTCTCGTGTGTCCCTTAAAAGCAACTCGACTTTCCACTGCGACACTAAAATAAGACTTGAAGAGCCTTGCAGGCATTAACTTGACGCGTAAGTTGGATACCCTGGGAATTTTCGAACTTTACCCGCTGTAACTGTTGTACAATTGTTGCGTATTTCAGTATTCATACTCAGTGCTAACGTCTGCTGCCTGAAAGCAACGTCATGGCGATTTGTGTGAAACTGATGATTCATGGCATTTTGCGACGAATGAAGTTAAATATTCAAGCAATACAAAAGATTTGAAACTAAAGGTAACAATACGCAGAAAAGCATAAGAACAGAGCGCCAGGTACTGAATTTACCTTATCAGAATTCAGTGTGCTCTACCGGTGGAAGCAGAAATATGCTTTTCTCCAAACTGCCAACAAATCCTGGAAAGCATTTCGGGGGCCAAAATGTGGGGAATTCCGTGAACTCTGAGAAGACACTTCAAAGTACATTACAAAGAAACGAGGAACAATTCAAAGTAAGCAGGAGCTAGATTCTTCGCTTTGAGAAGGGCAAAGGATCATCACTTAGGAGCCGAACATCGCTAAGCCAACGAAAGGCAAGAGGGTTTGTTGGGAGGATTAGAGTACTTCACAAATTTGTTATAGGATTGAGAAAAACAGGCGTCCCGGATCAAACTCTTTGTATTTCGACATGCAAACAAACACGACAATTGGAGGGGAAGTGAAGAGAAGCGTAATTATCCTCACAACTAGGGAACCGGGACAGCGCGGGCGGCATATATCGACTGTCTGCGGGCTGGACGACAGAGGGGTCGGAGTTCAAGTCCCAGTAGGGTCAAGAATTATCCACAGCATCCAAACCGGCTCTGGATCCCACCCAGGCTCATATCCGATGTACAACGGAAGTGATAACGACATGTTGTGAGGTCGAAAGCAAATATGTGGATGCGGAAGGGGACAGTGAATCGACGACAGAGAGCAGTTCCTAGGACTACAATGTGTAAAGTAACTGCTATAAAAGTACTATTATTCTTAATAATAGGCAAGGAATTTTGCCGTTAAAAGGTTATAAATATTTTTCATCTTCATGGAACTCACGCCCCAAATTTCGATCGCAAAAAATACGGAACACGTGTGCGAGAATTGTGCGAGTGAATACGGTTTGTAGAGCCGTCAAATGGCGCCCCTATCGGCGTTCCAGCGAACTCCTTGCAATGAACGCGGTGCGGAAACATACTTCATTGTTATACATATACGTATAACTTTGGATTTCTTAAAGGCAGGAACGAGAAACATGTACTGAATAGTGGAATAAGCCTTAAAAATTTTAAAAGTGTTCTATGTATGTTACTTGTACAACACCATAAATACCGCGACTGTATTCCTGTTCCGTAAAAATTCCGTTAAGCACGCCTTAGTTCCCGCAGTATGGCGGTATTTATGTTCATGGACGAATGTAACAAAAACTTTTCTTCTTTAAAATTGTACGGAAATAAAGTGTACCCTTTCGATGATGCAGTTAGACACCCTAAAACGACTAACAGGTCAGCACGTTTTTGTATCATAACTTGCATTACTACCACTTAAACTCCCGCTCATATTTTGATGCGTTTGCATGAAAAAGTTGATGCCGATTTGGAGCCGGGCCCAGGCTTTGTAGCTTCGTGAACCAGGGGCTAGCCAGCTGGACCCGAGCCAGCTGTGATACCTGGCTGCCTACCTTCCCCTCCGTTCTATGTATAAATTACACTGCCGATATCTGAGGCCATTTGAAACACCTACGGCTTAAATTCGACCTTGCCTGTCTTCGCAGTGGCTCTTATGCGGGTCGACGGATGCAGAGGAAGTGTAAGGGTTTGTTCATTGGAAATCTGGAAGGAAATGTGAGAGATCATGATTTATAACGTTCGCAATACTTTTGTAATCATCAGAGCTGTGTCAGACGTGTGATCTTTTTCTTCATTACAACAAGCGAAAACTATGATGGTCTGCATCCAGTGCAATCCGCGCTAATCTTGAGGTAACAGAGACCTAATCTCTGCTTTTCATCTGCAAGAATGGGGAATTTTACAGTTTTCTATCCAAAGAAAATCTTTCGTAGATAAAAAATCCGACAATGCAATCTAATGTAGATACAAATGTAGTTAAAATTCACGTTCACCTTTATCTCGTGCCTTATTCTGAAGTGAATGGAGAAATAACTTAAAGTATAATCTTTGAAAGTTTTCGAAATTTCCAAAAAAATTAAAAAAAACACAGCGTACGTTGCCCTTAAATAATGATATAATAAAGTCTGAAAATTTTCACGTTTTAAGATATTACTTGTACTTATTATCCACACTTAATGGATAGATTGTATAATTATTGGAGTTAAAAAAAAGATATTACTTTTGTTTTCCTAATAAGGTAGAAGGGAAATAAATATTAAGACTATTTTTAATATTTCACAAATTCTGCTTTATCTGGAATAATGGTATAACAAACATTTTGGAATTAAAATTGCTCAAGGGCATCTATGCTATAAGAGTAACCCGGCCACTTGGAGGTTGAGGGGTCCTACAGTGTACAATCTAGTGCTAGGGGAAAGCAGTCTTCTGGGATTTGGCACCGTGTATATGTGGTGTTAACCGACGTTTCGGAGGAACGTATCGCCCCCATCTTCAGGGTAGAAGAAAAAGTATAAGAATTCTGCAAGCGACAACACCGTGAGAAACGGTAAAGCAGACTGGAAATATACCAGCTATGTTCAGCAGAGAGGGTAGGGGGGAAGTGCAAGTAAACAAGTGAAAGCAGTGGTGTGGGAAGGGTAGGGGAAGGGAGCTGGGACAAGCATGGTTTCCCTGCTTTCACTTGTTTACTTGCACTTCCCCCCTACCCTCTCTGCTCAACATAGCTGGTATATTTCCAGTCTGCTTTACCGTTTCTCACGGTGTTGTCGCTTGCAGAATTCTTATACTTTTTCTTCTACCCTGAAGATGGGGGCGATACGTTCCTCCGAAACGTCGGTTAACACCACATATACACGGTGCCAAATCCCAGAAGACTGCTTTCTTCATAGTCACCGCCGTGAAAGCCTCAAATCTTACATAGTGCTAGGGGGTCCGCTTATTCGAAAATTTCGAGAACCACTGCTTTGAAGAATTCAGCGTTCAGTAGCCATTTGCCAGCCACAGCTTTCTTCGTGCCTAGTTTTGCCAACCGCGGCATTTCGGTTTGGTGCAGGAAGAGAATAAGCACAACTACAGACTTCGTCGAAGAGCCACCATAGCTCAGTCGGTATAGTGACTGGCTACGTGCTGGACGACTGAGGGGTCGATGTTTGAATACCGGTAGGGACAAACATTATCTCTTCTCCATGCCGTCCAGACCGGCTCTGGGGTCCATCAAACCTCCTATCCAATTGGTACCGGGGGCTCTTTCCCCGGGGTTAAAGCTGCAGGGACGTGAAGCTGGCCGCTCACCTCCAGCTAGTGCCGAGGTCAAGAAAATATGGATATATACGTCCAGTCCCCTATACGCTTTCATAGCTTAGTGCTGGTAAATAAATGGCTAGAAGACGTAGGAAGTTAGGCGTGTGACTATGTGTTGGGGTACTCAACTGTTGCTGCAGTGCTGCTCCAGGCCACACTGACTGCAGCGGTTAGGTGAGTCTCTCCCGCAGTGGCAGCCCCCATCTCGCACGCAACACGCACAGTCTTGTCGAGACGAATCGAAGGGACATCTGCAGCCCTTGGCTTCTTGTGTCCACAGGTCTACCTGACCTGCAAGCAAATAAATTGAAACCCTGTTCAACAAATTAAACAGACCCGTAGGAGGAAAAACATAGAGACATATTTTGTATGTCATTTGCGTCGCATATTTACGTATTTATGCAGGGTTTATTGGTCTCTATTTTTATGGGGCTCGCTAAACAGTAAGTACGCTAATAAGGAAAGTAGTTGTGTATAAATTACTGCATAATGAGGAGCTTCATAACTTGTACTCTTCTCCAAGTATAATTAGAATGATCAAGTCAAGGAGGATGAGGTGGGCAGGGCATGTAGCACGAATTGGGGAGAAGATGAATGCATATAGGATATTAGTGGGAAAGCCAGAAAGAAAGAGACCACTGGGAAGACCAAGGTGTTTGTGGGTGGACAATATTAAAATGGATCTTAGAGAGATAGAATGGGATGATATGGATTGATCTGGCTCAGGATAGGGGCCAGTGGATGGCTCTTGTGAACAGGGTAATGAACCTTCAGGTTCTATAAAATGCTGGGAAATTCTTGAGTAGCTGCAGAATTGGCCTCTTTTCAAGAAGAGTTCAGCTCCATGAGTAAGTAAGTAAGTAAGTAAGTAAGTATGTTGTGTATAAAGGTCACATGTCAGGTTATAACGGATCGAGAATTATCCTGATGAAATCAAAATACTGATATTCAGACTTACTGGGGTTTTGGGCTTTGTACATCGTCCGGTATTCTAACAACTGTAAAACACAACGTTTCGGAATCTGGATCTGTTTCCGTCCTCAGGTGGTGGGAGATACCTACTCTGCTGGGTCCCTTAGAAACAGCTAACCTCAATCACTGGACGATCCAGTGATTGAGGTTAGATTAGCTCATAAGGACATAAGAAGTTTTCGTGGAATTTTGCAAAAGTAGATTCATTTGACCTTGCAATTCTGAAATGAATTTGTTGCCTTTCGTCATGCCTGCCCATGAACCGAAACACGAAGTGTAACAAGACAAATATAATTTATTGATATATGCAGTATAATCGATTTTATTAAAATCGTGGCCAATCTATTGTGCTGTTGTGTAGACGGCCCTAATACCATCGGTGACACATATATATAACAGGATGGAATAGAACGAAAAATTGATATGCAAAATTGTCTGGCCCTGCGACAGAATATAACAAGCAGGGTCTGGGGTTCTCACGGAGGTGGTTATGGGGAGTTTCGTATTCCGGTATATAAAGCAGTGTTGTCCGCCGGCATCCAACTGTCGTGCCTGCACCGGTTCTCACTGTCTCTTCGCTTGCGGATTTTCTTATTTTTCCTTCTACCCTGAAGATGGAGGCGATACGTACCTCCGAAACGTCGGTTAACATCACATCTACACGATGCTACATCCCAGAAGACTGCTTTCTTCTTGTGAATGATAATTTGAAGAATATATTTAAAAATTTTATGTAAGATTTGAGGCTTTCACGGCGGTGACTATGAAGAAAGCAATCTTCTGGGATTTGGCACCGTGTATATGTGGTGTTAACCGACGTTTCGGAGGAATGTATCGCCTCCATCTTCAGGGGAGAAGAAAAAATATAAGAAACCTGCAAGCGGAGAGACCGTGAGGTCTACCCTGAAGATGGAGGCGATACGTTCCTCCGAAACGTCGGTTAATACCACATATACACGGTGCCAAATTCCAGAAGATTGCTTTCTAAAAATTTTATGTTATTGTTGACTTCTCTCTCCTGTGGCAGGCTAAATATTAAAGCAGATTTTCATAACTGCAGCTCCGGGGTATGCGAACCGATTTTAAAAATTTGTAATTAACCTAATTCTATAATTCGCCCAAATCCTGGCTATGCATTAAAATCTCTCAACTCTTCGTATCCAGTTTTCTGGAGCGCAAACGCTGTATATTACGAGTGACCTCGTCAAACGGGATTACAGCGTTGCTCCCGGTTGCTCTTACTGACTGCATTACTAATTTAGTTTTCCCCGGCAAAATGCAGCACATGCAGAATTCAGTGGGCAGAAAGTACCATCAGGTTTCTGTGTGGTCGACTGCTTGACCCATTAGTCACTTTCTGGTCAATCATTAAGTGTCTGCCCACGAGTGTCTGCCAGTCTGCTACTTCATTAATTAACGGAATCCGATGAATGAGTCAGACATTTAATCGATAAACTTCTCAATCAACCAACCATCCATTTAATTTGATATGTGAGGCAATCTTTTATTTAATCAATCAGCCTCCCTCGTTGTTAATCAGTTGTCCGATAGGCATATAAGCAGGTCGCGGTAAACAAGGGGACATTGGTTCAGCACAAGACATTAGCCACAGTTCGAAACATGCGGATGAAATTTCTAGTTGTAACACAACAGACACAAATAAGGAGGACACAGTCCTTGTAAAACCAATAGGTGCTCAAATAGCCTAGAAATCTCTCGCCTTTTATGGACACCTAAGCTCATTACCTCCTCCACAAAAGCGCACCACTGGATCCGATCCTTATCCAGATGAATTTAATCGCATCCCATTTCTTTAATGTCCATCTGAATATTATCCTTCACTGTTTAGTTGTACAAAGTGTGTTCTCCCTTCATGTTTCCAAACTAATATTTTGTATGCAGTTCATATTTCTCATACATGTCATATACGCCGCATGTCTTAGCCTCACTTACTTGATCACCCCAGTAATATGTTGCTTTTCAATACGAAATTGTCTCCAGTCTGCAAAAACTCGGTTCTTAGGTCCAAATGTAGCGGTCACCGTAGTCTAGGGGTAATGTTCCCACCTCATGACTCAAGGTACGCGGGTTCAAACCCGGCGGAGGTCGTGGAATTTTTAAGGGCGGAAAAATTCATGGAACAAGTCCTCCGGGAGGGACTTTAAGCCGTGTGTCCCGTGTCGTAGATTTACGGCACGTAAAAGAACCGCATGTCTCTAGGAGACCTCTGAGCAAAATTAGGCAACAATTTCCCGCGCAAGTAGTCTCCAATGCCTCTGGTGGATGGCGGAAGCATCAAGGTACCGGGGGCCGACCTTGTTGGCTCTACGGGGGCTGGTGGCACGCACCATTACCGGTAGGGTATGGCGACAGTAAAAATTAAAAGGGGGATGCACAATGGACCAATAACTGGTCTAAGTGCATGGGGAAACCCACCCCATCTCATAATACATACATACATAGGTCCAAATGTCACGTTCAGCAGCCTACTCTCAAACATCCTTCGTTTGTGTTATTTCCTCAGGGCGGCAGACAAATTTCATATCCATATAAAAATAGACAAAATCGTAGCTTAGAGAAAAGGCAAAGCTATTCCTGTAACAGGCCGTGGAGGTCCATAAAGTTGTGAGATGTTGAGGTTCCCACATTATCTAGATAATCGGCTCACAGATTGCGGTGATATTGTCAGCCTGACTCGACCGCTCTTTACCCTCCGGAAGATTCTTGGTCCTCATTTCTGTAGATGCTGAGTCGACCCGAAGATTATAGTGCTGTTGGAAGGTTAGGTCAATTATAAATTCAATGACCTTACCGGGATTCGATCCCGCGACCTTCCGGCTTGTAGCATAGCGCCTCAACAAATTACGCTAGCGCATGCCCCCAAACAGTAGCTTTATATAGTTGAATATTTATGCTTTAGATATGAGTTGGGACGAGGGTAAAGTCGGAACTGCATCACAACAAGCATTTCTTACGCTTTATTTATCTGTGAATGTATTTCATGCAGAAGCTTCTTGAAATGAATACATTAGGTTAGGGTTTTCAGTTCTCAATACGCCCGCTAATTCTCTACTATAAATCGCATTGTTTTGAGGACTGGATGTTAAGGATGGACAGTCCTTTGCACACTTTTCGGCTTCGTCTGTCGTCCTCGCAACCAATCAGGCAGAAGGACCCTCAGAGTCAGCTATATCAGTTTGTCTGTCATTCCGGCAGGCGGGTTGTTAATCCACGAGGGCAGGAAGTAGACAAGGGCCGATCATTTATCCAGAATCGATTACGTATACTAGATTTTAACTTAATTTTAGTGGATAATTTACTCAGAGATTCACTTTAAAGAGAGTACCTACTGTCGACGGATTAAACGGCTAACTGAAATACGTATATTCAGTACACAGGGTGACAATTAAGTTCCTGAACTGACGTTGTTACAGTAATACTACTAAAGCCATCTATCGGGGATGAACGGGACTAGTTAGGGAGAACGTTTATTTATATGACGCGCAAGTTTCAACTTGTCTGGTTGATGCATATGAGGATTACAGTTGTTTTCGTGTTGAAATGTCGAAAAGTGCGTGCGGTGAAGAATGTTTATCGAGAACAATCCAATCGAAAAGGTGAAGATCTCTTTGTAACACCACTGTAACACAAGAAGATTTATTGAGGAGAACTGGCAAGTTACGCGGTTTGTTTCACAACAGGATTTTAGCAGTAGGTATAGTAACACCAATGGCCAAATGAACGTGACTTAATGGACTGAACACCTTCCAAACCACTGCACGAGTTGTCTCACTGCAAGCATAACGCCGAGGCAGAAGACTATACGAAACACACATTTTCATTTTTATACAGTAATGACAGTTCCCAGCGTGTTAGGTGGGTCCCTGGTCACCACGGCATAGCGCGTCCTCAGGTTGCTGATGTTAGGTGGGTCCCTGGTCGCCACGGCATAGCGCGTCCTCAGGTTGCAGGTGTTAGGTGGGTCCCTGGTCACCACGGCATGGCGCATCCTCAGGTTGTAGGTGTTAGGTTGGTCCCTGATCACCACGGCATGGCACGTCCTCAGGTTACGGATGTTATGTGGGTCCCTGGTCACCACGGCATGGCGCGTCCTCAGGTTACGGATGTTATGTGGGTCCCTGGTCACCACGGCATGGCGCGTCCTCAGGTTACGGATGTTATGTGGGTCCCTGGTCACAACGGCATGGCGCGTCCTCAGGTTGCGGATGCTAGGTGGGTCCCTGGTCACCACGGCATGGCGCATCCTCTGCTTGCAGGTGTTAGGTGGGTCCCTGGTAACCACGGCATAGCGCGTCCTC